ACGACGTCACCGGAGCAGGCGAGCAACGACAACCAGGAGACCGAGAGAGATCAGAGAGGATTGGGCAAAAACACTACGTAAAAGGGCAAAAACAATCTATAGAAATCAAGAATGTAAATCAAGAAAGAAATTAATTTAATCGTGAATCAAACTGAGTCACCTTAGTCCTATGTCAGGATTGGGCAGTGGCGGTCGATCGATGGGCGGTGGGTGGCGCCTGAATTTATATGGTAGATGTCGTCTAGGAGAGAAACTTAAAAAATTTAGGGATTAAAAGATTTCAGGGATTGCGAGATTATAGGTTGGTCAGCGGTGGGGGTTTGATTGAAGATGGTAGGCTGCGACTGGTGTGGGAAAGAAAGGAAGGGTTTACGCTGAATTGAGAGGTAAAGAGAATTTTTCTGAGTGATGATAATTGAGAGAGATGGAGGCACACACATTATGATACAGAAGAAAGGGTTTGGAAAAAAACTTTCACATGTTTCAATCCAGTCCCCAATTTATCAAGAATTTATGATTTGGTCTGTACTGCAAATTGGTTGTAAGAATTTTTAGCAACATATGTTTCTTATCGCCAAAAGTAGACCCTATTACATCACAAATACTTTGTTGCAAGAAATAAAAGTTTGTCGCCACAAGTTTCCCACCAAAAATATATTGGCGCCTTGTTTCCCTCATATTTTTGGCGACATTCTTCATTGTTTGTTGCGAATTCTTACATTTCACGGCAACTTTTTATATCGCCTTATATTTTTTGGTACTATTTTTTCATCACAATTTTTGCAACAAACTTTAAACATGTGTCGCGTTAAATCACTTATTGCGACGACTTTTCGTATGTCGCGAAAAAAATTGTCGCGTAATCACAATTTTGTTGTAGTGAGAGTCAGAGTTGGAACGGCGGAGGCAGTGCACGGAGCTTCGGGAGAGACAGAGACTAGTGCCGTGAGTGGGTGTGGTCGTGTGCGGTGTGTCGGTGTGTGGTGTGGGAGAGAGGACGGGGTCACGGGGGAAGAGTGGTGTGTAGAGGTTGAGAGTCGGAAGAGAGGAAAGGGGAGGAGAAATGAGGTGAGGGTGGGGTTTGAGTTTCACTATTTTTCATTTTATATTT